GCGTTCCAGATTCCTACCACTCGGTGTAAAAAGCTTGCCCCTCATGACTCCTTTGAACATTTCCCCCTCTAAATGCATGCCCCCTAGTATTAGACATTTCAACCCTGGGAAAAAGATTCTGACCATCAACCCTATCTATGCATCTCATAATTTTATAGACTTTGATCAAGTCTCCCCTCAGCCTCCGCTGCTCAAGAGAAAACAACACGAGTTTTTCTAGCTGCTTCTTTTAGTTCATACACTCTAATCCAGGCAGCATCCTGGTTGGTAAACCTCTTCTGCACCCTCTCTAAAGCGTCCTCATCCTTCCTGTAATGTGCTGACCAGAACTGAACACAATACTCTAAATGTGGCCTAACCAAAGTCTTATAAAGTTGCAACATGACATCCTGACTCTTGTACTCAATTCCCTGACCAATAAAGGCAAGCATGCCATACGCCTTCTTTACCACCCTATCTATTTGTGTGGCTACTTTCCCTGACCAATAAAGGCAAGGATGCCATACGCCTTCTTTACCACCCTATCTATTTGCATGGCTACTTTCAGGGAGCTATGGACTTGAACCACTATATCCTTCTGTACATCAATGCTGTTCAGAGTCGTGCCGTTAACTGTATACTTTTCTTTAACATTTGACCTCTCACAGTACAGCACTTCATGCTTACCCAGATTAAACTCCATCTGCTATTTCTCTGTCCATATCTGCAACTGATCCAAATCTCACTGTATCCTTTAAGAACCTTCTACACTATCCACAACTCCACCGACTTTGAATCATTTGCAAACTTACTAATCGATCCATCTACATTTTCATCTAAATCATTTACATATATCACAAACAGCAGAGGTCCCAGTATGGATTCCTATTGAACACTACTAGTCATGGACCTCCAGCCTGAAAAAAATCTTCCACCAATACCCTCTGTCTTCTATGGGCAAACCAATTCTGAATCCACACAGCCAAGTCACCGTGGATCCCATACAACTTAATCTTCTGGATGAGCCTACCATGAGGGACCTTGTCGAAAGCTTTATTAAAATCCATGTAAACAACATCTACCCTCATCAATCACTTTTGTCACCTCCTTCAAACAAGTTAGTAAGACATGACCTGCCCTGAACAAAGCCATGGACTTTTCACCCATTATTTCCCTACCTGAGAACTTCCAGGAGATTACAGTTCAGTTTGTATCACATTTCCCCTGTTTTAAGGCTGTCCCTTTGAAACTTCCTTGACATTCATAAGATGCGACATTACAGGGTGTCTCTCTTTTACTCTCTAGACGGCCACTGAACTTACATCTGCAATTATTTGGTTGGCTGCAGAAGTGCTCTCTTAAAAAGTACATGTTAGAATTAAAACTTCATTATGTAGGTGATCCAGGATTATGGTCCATGGTCATAAAACTCCCTAATCTACAGTAGTAATAGTATATTATTTGTCTGTCTGGACTGTTTTGATTGACTTGGGGGTCATGTCTGTTGGAGGTTTATTTGAAGGTTGGTGCTTGTTTCATGCAGGGGCACATGGGCGTAGGGTGAGCACAGTAAGTGATGTTCATGGATCTGTTGATGATTGGTGGTAGCAACAGGGTAGGTGCTTTGAGGGAGAACTAACACAGTGTAATATGAGGAGAATCCAACAACAGTTATCCTGGCTTGAGGGGTTGTTTCAATGAGAGATGGAATGGAATTGATGGCAAGGTATGGGAAGGAAAGGACAGTATGGGAACAGTTGAGGAGATGATAGAATTAATTAAATGTCTCAAATGTTAAGGACAATTATTTGAATAATTATTATTTAAATGAAGATTCACTAGAATTTATATGAAATGTTTTAGAAATAGTTGTCAGGTAAATTGAAATAATACATCTGTGTGGATGCTGTAGACAAAGAAAATGATCCCTGATAATACCCTCCAAAATATCTACACAGTCCAAATCTAATGGGCATGTCACCATACAAACGTAGGCTCATGGAAGGAACAGTTGTAATGTTCCTATCTAAGTTGAATCTTAAACAAAGACTGTCAAAGCTCAAGACTGACAATTATCAAGCTGTTTTATTTGATGATAGATATTGAAGTTATAATTGACAGATTGTAAACCTGCCTTTGCAACTCTGGAGAAAATACTTTTCAATATTCTTCCAAGTTCTATGACTAAACAAATTACTAGATCAGACTCTTGAAAAAATTGTATTTACAGTCCTATACATGTTTCTTGTGCATGGACAGCCAATCACTAACTGCTATTTAAGAGGGACAGAACTGAAGAATAGGGAAAGTATGCTAAACTTGCATTTTGCTGCAACATTACAAAAAGGATACTGTGGAACTAAAAGGCAAAGAGCAGTTGTACAAGGAAGATACGAATCAGGAAAGGGTTGAAATGCTGAGACTCCTATCCCTTGAGAAAGAAACATTGAAGGGTGACCAAATTGATGTTTTTAGATTGATTAATTGTTTTTATAGAGTGGATTCAGAGAGAATCTTTCATCTTTTAGAGGCCATCAAAAATATTGTCACCAAGAAATCCAATAGGAATTCAGAAGAAACTTCTTTGTGAAATGAGTAGTGAGAATGTGGAACTCAGACCACAAAATGTAGATGAAGTGAAAAATATGCATTCATTTAAAGAGAACCGAGACAAGCATATCAGGGTTAGGGAATAGAGATTTACGATAATAGATTTCGATGAGGAAACATTTGGGGAAAGCACAAGTGCAGCATAAACACTTGCATGAACTCATTGAACCAATTAACCGTAAATCAGTACCAAGAAGCCTCAGGTCGCTTTTTCATACCTAGAAATTTTGATTCTGTTAAAGTCTTTAGTGATGGAAATCCTACTTTTAAAGAAATGCTATTGCAACAAAGATAATAATTTGACTGCAAATGGTAATAATATGATGAACTTGCTAATCTTCTATGGCTGCACTATTCACACACCGCACAACATATTGGGAAGTCTTGACTCAACAATAATGTAGTTACTGTGATGTTTCATCCTGATTCCACTACTCTATTGTAAATGGTTAGTTGCACATTTCTCTTGTGCCGGTTTATTATAAAATGCATTGGGTGCACTGAGGGCTGTCCTTGTTCAAATGTGTTAGCAACCAGCGAATTGTCCTTGGATGTCTCAGATCAGGTTGTAGACTGACCTCAGGAATCCCTGTAATGTATGCCAAAGGTGTGTGTGACATCTACACAGGCACCATCATATTTGCCAGTAGGTTACATCCTCTCTGACAGAGTTGGATACAAATGGCTAGATTTTTCAGCTGGTATTGCAATACAAGCAAAGGAAGGGCAGGGAGAGAGCAAATCTCATTACCTAGGTGCAAATTAACCTTTATGATTTAATATATTTGATATTTACAACCACAGGAGATGGGGTTAACTTCACATATCAGTGTTTGGTTAACCTGCAAGTCATGTGTCCTGGTGCTAATCAGGGAAGTATGATGGACTTGTAGGTAACTTACGGCAATGAACAAGTGTTTACTTTGCCAAACACAATTATTTTGCCCGTAACAAACATTATCAACCACAATTCACTTTATTTTACACTATCTTTAGTGAAGCTGTTGTCAAGTTCCATTTTTAACTGTACTTCTGGAAAATATGTTGTCGGAGTTTTTGCTTTCAATCTCTTTTTTGCACTTACTTTATTGCTCCCTACAGGCCAGCCAGGGAACAGCAAGTACAACAATTGTGTCAGTTATAACAATGTGTCTTGGGTGTATTTTGCTGCAGGCTTCTTATGGGAATGGACTAGTATCTGCCTAGTTCTGAAGAGTTCTGTAGTGCACTGCACTTATTGTGAACTCAGAAACTTGCATCTACTTCATCCCACCTGGTTCATGGAGACTGACACAATTGTTCAAGATTGTGCACAGCAATTGGCACCTGCTGGTCATGTTGCTGCAGGGATTCCTCTTCTGGATGCAGTATAAGGATTCTTTATTCGCGTGCCCTTCCAAAATGGGTATGAATTATCCAATAAAGGAAATCACAAAAAGAGCTGCATTCATAATAGGTAGATTATCTACATAAAATTCTTCCCGATAAAGTCATCCCTTCAATGGGCGTGGATGGGCTGGCGTTACCAGTAGGGAGTGTTCCTTCCTACAATTCAGTGCAGATAGGCTGGTGTTATCTATAGAGGATTTCCCTCCTTACAGTAGATGTGTGAAGGCAGGCGTTACATATATGGAATGTCCTTTTCTGCAGTTGGCCATTAATGGGCTGTTGTTACCTGTAGGGACCATCTCTGCTTGAGTTGCCTGTTGAGTCTCTCGCTACAGTTGGTTGTGGATGGGCTGGTGTTACTTTTAGGGAATGTCCTTGCTGGCTGTTACCTATAGGAAGTGTCTCTGCTACCATTACCTTCAGGGAGTGTCCCTGCTAGCATTACATTTAGGCAGTGTCCCTTCTGGTGTTACCTGTAGTATTTCTCCCTACAGTTGGCTGTGAACAGACTGGTGTTACCTGCGGTGTTTCTCCCTACTGTTGGCTGTGAATGGACTGGTGTTACCTGTAGTGTATCTACCTAAAGTTGGCTGTGAACAGACTGGCGTTACCTGTAGGGTGTGTCCCTGGTGTTATCTGTAGTGTATCTCTCTACAGTTGGCTGGGAACAGGCTGGTGCTACCTGTAGTGTATCTACCTACAGTTGGCTCTGAACAGACTGGTGTTACCTGTAGTGTTTCTCCCCACAGTTGGCTGTGAATGGGCTGGTGTTACCTGTAGGGTGTGTCCCTCGCTGCGGTTGGCTGTTCGTCGCGTCCCGGTGACTGGCCTGCCCCAGTGGGCCGGCGTCCTCGCCCCGCCCACACCCTCGCGCGCGCAGCCGCGGCTACCTGTGATGAAGAGGAGCGCGCGCGATGACGGTTGGAGTGTGTGCGCGTTTCCGCGTGCAGGGGGGCGGGGTTCGTAATACGTCGGGAGCGCGCAGGGATCACCTCCTCCTACCGCCGCCCGCAACCCCCCCCACCCCCCGCCCGCTCCAGACATGGCGGATTACAGGTCCGAGTGGCTCCGGCTGCCGAGCTTCTGGTCGCATGGGGTCACCCGGGACGGACGGGTCTTCTTCATCGAGTGAGTACCGGAGGCAGCTGGGCTGTGGCGGATACGGAAAGCTGACATTTTAATTTATAACTACACTCACCGTGTCTTCTCTCTCTCTCTCACACACACACAGTGAAGAAGCGCACAGAACAACCTGGTTACATCCAGCGACCGGCGAGGCCGTCATCAGCGGACACCGCAAAACACCAGGTGGGGAGCGGGGGGAGACCAACCGACCGCCCCACCTCCCGCCCCGAACTCAACCTCCGGGACGGGGGCTGGAGAGGACACATCTCCCCACACTCCGACCCCCATCTCCATCCTCGGCACCGCATTCACCCCGACCCTATCCGCACTCCGAGCCCGATCTCCACTTCCACACACACCCCCCCGATCCCCACCTCCACACACACCCCCCGATCCCCACCTCCAC